AGTCTGTTAGTACTGTAATAACAAAATACCACAAGTGGGTGGCTTTAATGGACCGAGATTTATTTTCTCTAAGTTTAGGAGACCAGAAGTCCTAATTCAGGGCACTGGCTCTAGGGGAAGGCCCTCTCTGTGTCAGCTATGTGGGAAGATCCTTGTTTCAGTTTCTATAGTCAGCTATCCTAGGAGGTTTCCAAGTCGCCCCTATCATTCCCCCACTTGTGTTTGCCTGCTTCTGAGCCCAATGTGCCCTTTTTCTATCTCAGAAGTAGTTAGTTTTAACACACACCCTACGCTGACATGATCTCATTAACATAACAAAGAAAAACCTATTCCCAAATGGAATAACATCCATAGGTATGTTGTTGGGTGCCACTGACTCGATTCCAACTCATGGTGACCCCAAGTGACAGAGTAGAACAACCTCATAGTGTTTCCAAGGCTATAATCTTTATAGAAGCAGACTGCCACATCTTCTTCCTGCAGAGCAGCTGTTAAGTATGAACCACTGACCTTTTGGTTAGCAGCCAAGCACTTAACTACTGAGCCTACAGAGCTCCTTCCACAGGTATAGGGGTTAGGATTTACAACACATACTTCTGGGGGACACAACTCAATACATAACAGGAAGTCAATGAAATAATACATGTCATAGATTTAACACTGTGCCTGTTGCATAGTAAGTGCTCAACAAACTAAAGGCTCGTTTAATCATTATTGTTAAATCAACCTGCTATTCCATTTCTCCATCTCCACATCCTTTACGCCATTGCCTCAGAAGGGGTTCTCTCAGGGTGCTGATCACCAGCAGTGCCCGACTCCCACATCCCACACCCAGACTAACCCTTTCTGAGCATTATCTACATTGTGCATCCCTCTCAGAGTTGTCAGTGGTCACACACCACGGCCTTCGAGTCAAGCCACCAATCCTGGCTTAGTAGGCAAATGGCTTGTGAGGGTACAAAAATAGGAAAACACAGGGTTTGCGCTGGGTCACCAGGTACTCACCAGAAGAAAAGAAAGCAGTTGGAAGGTCCCTAGGTGGCACAAGCAGTGTGAGATTGACTGCTACTCTAAAGATTGGCAGTAAATCCACCCAGCGGTACCATGGAAGAAAGGCCTGGGGATCTGCGGTGGGGCTGCAGGTGCTCCTTGCATCGGAAGGCCTTTCGGAACTCAAGACACGCGTCTGGTTTCTAGGCTGAGTGGCTTTGCATGTGACCCAGCAGGTGCGTGGGCTTCACAGCCATCTTGCCACACTCAGGGCAGGCCTGGTGCCAGCAGGACCAGTGGGGGGTTGCCAGGTTCCTGCTTGTATGGCCAGACAGCCTCCTAGTCCCAGTGACTGGCACCTCTGTCCCCTGTGCCATAGTTCCTTCTAGGAAAACTTACATAGTCAGGTGGGGCAGCTCTAGGCAGGCTTAGGTGAGGCGGGGTCAGGCCAGGGATTCTGGCCTGGTCACAGTTAGGAAGAAAATACAGATGGTGTCAGGGACAGGGTAGGGGCAGTGGGAATGTTTAAAGCCAGAGGGCTGTAGGACTGGGAAGAAGGTTGGGCTGTGAGCTCCATATAGGCAGTGGTTGTGGGCTTCTTCTTCATCCTTGTGTCCTCTGTACCTAACCATGCCAGGCCCCTAGTAAGTGACCAATAGTGGGTGGATGGATAGATGGATCGGTCAGTGTAGTGGGGAAGTGGGTAGACAGACAAATAGATGGGTGGAAGTGTAGTTTGATATATGAATGACAGTTGCATAGGTAGAAGGATGGATGGGTGGGTGTGTGGAGGGGATAAGTGGGTAGATGATTAGAACAGCAAAAAGATAGAGTAATTGATGAATGGCAGGTGGATGGATGGGCAAACGGGTCAATGATTGGAATGACAAAGAGATAGAATGATTGATGGATGGGTGAATGGATGGGATGGTAGTTTGATGTACAAGTGGGCAAGCATGTGTCTGAGTGGGTATATGGGTAGACACAGGGTGGGTGGGTAAGTGTGATGTACAAATGACCCACCTATTTCCTTATTCCAGTGGTTTTCAAACTGCCCCATGGAAGTCCAGGGAGATAAACAACCTTTGTTTTCACCTGTTTTACATCAAGAACTTATGCTCCTGGTGTATTTTGTGAAGGAGGTTCCCAGTACAATGGCAGTTTGAACTGCCTCCCATCCACTTATCCACACGCACATGCTTACGGACCCTCAGGTCCCAAACCACCGGCATCCTGGGCTTCACTGTCCTCTCTGAGTTCGGGAGGTGCTGCAGTGAATGGAAAGATAACTGGGGCAGAACCACCCCACCCACACACGGCCCTGGCCTTGACTTGCTGTGTGACCCAGGCAAGCTGCCTGAACTCTCTGGGCCTCAGTTTCCACCTTTATGACAACTACTGTTGGTGTTTTTAGGTGCTGTCGAGTAGGTTCCAAATCATAGCAACCCCATGCACAGCAGAACAAAACCCTGATCCTGCTCCATCCTCACAATGCTGACAACTAATCCTCCAGAAAGCAGAGTGTGCTCTCTGCAGCCAAAACATATAAAACATCTTTGTTTGGCCTCCAACAACAGTGTTCTTAAAAATGTGAAAAATATTTTAAAATCAGGCAATTTCAAGTTTAAAAAAAAAATAATCCACCTTTGTGGCTTTTCTTTTTTTTGTTGTTGTTGTACTTTAGGTGAAGGTTTACAGAACAAATAGTTTCTCATTAAACAGTCAGTACACATATAGTTTTATGACATTGGTTAACAACCCCATGACGTGTCAACTCTCTCCCTTCTCGACCTTTTTTTTTCTTCTTTTGGTGAAAATATACATAGCCAAAGATATACCGTTTCAAAAATTTCTACACGCACAGTTCAGAGACATCAATTGCGTTCTTCCAGTTTTGCTGCTGTTCTCACTTTAGATGAAGGTTCACAAAACAAAATAGTTTCTCATTAAACGGTACAAATGTTGCTCTATGACAGTGGCTAACAAACCCACTACATGTCAACTCTGTCCTTACTCAACCTTGGGTTCCCTATCACCAGCTTTCCTGTCCCCTTCTGCCTTCTAGTCCTTGTCCCTGGACTGCTGTGCCTCATTACTCCCGTTTTGTTTTATGGGGCTGTCCAATCCCCGGCTGAGGAGTGAACCTCGGAAGTGACTTCACCACTGAGATAAAAGGGTGTCTGGGGGCCATACTCTTGGCGTTTCTCCAGTCTCTTCCAAGCCAGTAAATCTGGTCTTTTCATGTGAGTGTTAGAATTTTGTTCTACATCCTTCTCCAGCTCTGTCTAGAAACTTCTGTTCTGATCATGTCAGAGCAGTCAGTGGTGGTAGCCAGGCACCATCTAGCTGTACTGGGCTCAGTCTAGTGGAGGCCTTGGTAGGTGTGGTCCATTAGTCCTATGGACTAATCTTTTCCTTGTATACTGTTCTCTTCATTCTCCCTTGCTCCCAAAGGGGTGAGACCAGTGGAGCATCTTAGATGGCTACTCACAGGCTTTTAAGACCCCAGATGCTACTCACCAAGGTAGAATGTAGAACATTGTTTTAGTAAACTTTTATGCCAATTAAACTAGATGTTCCTGAGACCATGGTCCCCTCAGCCCTCCACCCAGCAATTCAGTCCCTCAGGAAGTTTGGAAGTGTCTATGGAGCTTCCATGACCTTTCCTTGTACAAGTTGTGCTGGCTTCCCAAGTGTTGTGTACTGTCTTACCCTTCACCAAAGACACCGCCTATCTATTGCCTATTTAGTATTTCCGTCCCACTCCTCGCATCCCTCATAACCAACAAAGACTGTTACTTTTTGTGTGTAAACTTTTCCATGAGTTTTTCCAATAGAGGTCTCATACAATATTTGTCTTTTTGTGATGACTTATTTCACTCAGCATAATGTCCTCCAGTTTCATCCATGTTATGAGATGCTTCACAGATTCATCATTGTGCTTTATTGTTGCATCACTCTCCGTCTCTTTATGGGTGCATTGAGTCCATATACCTTCAGTATCATTATGGATAGATGTGAGTTTATTGCTGTCATCTTGTAGTGTCTTTTTTTTTTTTTTGTGGTGCTGATGTTTTCTACGTTCTTCTTACTCTCCTATGCTGAATTCCTTTTGTTTGTGGATTTTTTGTTTTGTTTTGTTTTTGTAGGGTTTGTTTTTACTGAGATTTTATGTTTTTCCTCTTTATTTTTATGAGTATGTTTGTTAACTTTCTTTGTGGTTACCGTGAAATTTACCCTTATCTTTCTAAGTTTGAAGC